TAGGGAGAGAAAAATAGTTATTGTACCATTAGATAATTCAATAATTTTAGATTTAGCAAACATCTATTTACTGTGATTCATGCTGGTTGCCTCAAGAAAATAAAAAAAAACATACACTAGCATCCTGGCTTCACTTTCCTGGATTTAATCCACCAGAGCTCTGAACACGTTTTTCCAGCATGCTTGTAAAAGACAACAAACAACAAGTGCACCATGACAATTATGTCCCCCACATGAAAACCTAATCATAGTCCTTTTGTTAGGCCACGGACGATAAGTGATGCTTTTATCTCACATCCAAAGACCTCTATGCACATAAAACTCTTTTAAGTCAGATGATGGGTAGGAAATGCTGTCCCATGGGGGACGGACCGCAAAAACTACCTGTACATCTGGAAGACACATGTTACACAAACATTCATCTGAGGGCGTCTACAACATCCATCCACTGCTGGGCGGCACGTTACAGCGAACCACACAGGAGGCTTCGACAACAAAAGCCCTGCCTCTGAAATCTGTTCTATATTGATCCACAGCCAAAGCATCATATTAAACAAGTATTCTCTAACAGCACAAAGACGACGGCCTTCAGAGACTCAATTCTGGCAACGACAGTAAGCACCGCACTGCTGTAGCGCATAAAGACCAAACAGGGATTGAGAAATCTATCCCAACCATTAATAGTCTAAGTCAGGCTTTCATAATGTGATTCCGAATGCAGAAGCTGCTCGAAATCAGAACATTGTGTGTGCGGCAACATTGCTCTTGATGCCTGAAGAAAATTTACAGCTTTCTTTGAAGTCTTTGAACTCAGTGGTGAAAATCTGAGCAATGAATCAATGCAGGTTGAGCAGAGCATGTTAAAAATGATGACAACTACTTCAGCAACAAGTAGGACACCGACAACACAGAAATAAAGTCTAACGTTTTTTAAATAATTATTCTTAGACTGAATTACTAATTCAAATTAAACTAAAATAAAATTAATAATATATATTTTTTAAATAATATTTAAAAAAAAACCTTTTTAAAAGTAATATTTAAAAAAAAAAAAAAAAAAAAAAAAAAAACAAATTTAAAAAAAAATGGCATTAAAAATCCCAAATGTAATAAAGTTCCAAAAAAATTTAAAATGTCTAAATAAAACCTAATTCAAAATAATAATAAAAAACTACAATATTTTATAAATAATAATAAAACTACACTGATTCTTAAAGGTTTCAAGTGTGTTGCTATGCAGTTGCTAAGGTGGTTTCTAGGTTTCAGAAGAGTCCGCCACCAAGTCTCTACAATACCTCAGGTCCCACTTCCAATGTCAGTATATGGAATTTTCCATAAAAATCGTAAGTCTGATTTCTAAGAATGAAAAATTAAAAACAACTCGTATACAATTTGAGCCATCATTCATGTTTGTAACAAAAACAGAAGAATTACTTGCCATACTAGTGCATTAATAAAATTGCATATTAAATCAAATCACTAAATTTTAAAGCACTAGTAGTGGCAAGCAATGTTTGCTAAGGTTCATTAAAATATGAAATAAAAATGTATTTACAATATTCAGTGGTGCTTTAAAAAAAAATTACAGAGACAAAGTGAGGAGTGCAGATATATCCAGAAGGAGAAAACATGAAAGAGCATTGAAAACATGAGATAATTATGAGCGGATTAGACCTCAAAGAGAAACACATGGGCTTTAAAGAGACTGGGCACATTCAAGCAGTTGGAATCATATGGATGCAAATTGGAACCTCATTTGAATATTCAAAGCCAATGGGAAGGATTTTGTATGTGTGTGTGTGTGTGTGTGTGTGTGATTGTGTGTTTGAAGGTGATCTCATCCCGTTTCAGATCAATGTTCCACTTCTGACAACTTATGACAAGTTCAGTTTCTGCACTACCGTATAAGTATCTGAGGCTCTTTAATTGACCGTGGAAAAATTCAGACTGAGATGGTGGTGAGTCAAAGAGCCAGTTGGTTAATAGTGCACTCTGAGATCATTCTGGGTTGGGTTGGACTGTAGGCGTCAGCACTTTTGTGTGCTGTACATATACACCCCATTGCTAAAAGTCACTCCACCCGCCAAACACAAAACTACAGAGAGAAATCATGCTTTAATTGAGGTGTTGAATGGGTGCAAAGGTGGAAACCGCCCTGTCCGGAAGTGCTACTGACAGAAATACAGATGAATATGACTGAACGGTGATGTTTTCAATGTTAAAATACCTTATATCCCAGCTCAATATGCAGAGCATAGGCGGAGCATGTGTAAGGCTTGGGAAGGCTTAGCCTTCCCCTGGCCACGGGGATTTGGTTAGCCTTACCCTGGAGTTGGTTCACCCTCCACCTATGATGCAGAGACAACTATTAGTAACCTATTTGTAGTTAAGGGCAGGACTATCTGTTGGTCCAACTAATAGCGGATGAGTAGAGTGTTCAGGAAACCTGTCTGAAAACAGTCACTAATTGTAAAAAAAATTGCACACTTCACCTTTAAAGTACTCATGAGACGAAGTAATTGCATGACCTATTGATGATCAAGCAAATACAGTACGAGTCAAAATGTGCTTTTATCTTTAACCTATGATCATAAATGTTTACTACTTAATCATAAGTTCAGCATTTTTTGGAGTGAAATCAACTGTTCTGTCACGAACTGGCATTCCATGTTGCACAGTAATATGTGTACATAATAAGTGATACAGTGTACTAAAGTAGGCGTCTTTGGGAATGCCCCACATGGCATCACAATGAGATCACATTAAACAGTTTGTTTCCTGGTGTCTGCATAAAATTTCATTTGCTTTCCTTCCTTTAATTTCTTTGATTTACTACTAACTCAAAATTAAATGTATATATTAGGAAAACATTGTAAATAACACAAGGGGGTGTTAACATTTCTGAAGTCAATCTCAAAAAGGTCAAATATGAAATATTATGATATGACATACTACACTTGCAAACAAACAAACACCATCAGTAAAAACAGCACAAGAACTCAACAACTAGAAAATCAGCCTGTGATTCACAGTTCGAGCGGAACCACAACAGTATGTCATTAGATCAGTCAGTTGTCTCACATGTGGTCACTGGACTCACGCCAGTGTATGTATATATATATATATATATAGGTAATTATAAATATCTGACAAAGTCCGAATTAAAATGTATTTACATTGATGAAACACAGTATAATGTTAACTATAAGTGGCATTTAAGAAAATTACATATACATATAAGATACCTAAGAATTATTTTTACAAAATTATGCACAGTTGTTTTATATTTCGTTCAATCATAGGGTTTATTCAGATCACTAACTCTAAGTTTAAAAGTCATAATGCTTGCCTTATCAAACATTACTAATAAAAAATTAATAAAAGTAATCCAGAGTTGGCATCATCTGCTGATGGTCAATATGGGTTTGTGGGTTATGGGGTCATTGTCGGATTAATCACAGAAATGTCTTTAATTTCTTTTTGGACACAAAATACATTATAAATAGGCTACATCACAGATTCAGCAGAACAACATTTGCTTAAAGTGAGGAAGTGAATGGGAAGTTAAATATAACCTTGCTCCAACATAGCAGAGAGAAGTTCATTTATATCTATTCATTAACCTGATTGATTATAAAGATATGCATTAAATCAAGGTTTTGTTTAGGTCTTGTTTTTAATGAACTGACTATTCCTGGGGGCTGTTTCATAAAACAAGTTTACCAAACAAGCCAGGTTTATTTCAGTTAGTCTGGCTTATTGTCAGTTGATTTGGTTCAAAATAAGTCAGAATAACTGCAATAAGCCTGGCTTGTTCGGTAAACTTGTTTTATGAAACAGGCCCCTGGTCTCAGGAGGTTATCAGTGTGTTTGAGTGTGTGTGTTGAGCATGGGGATATGACACAGACAGAAGCTGGTTTCTAGCTCTACAAACATTTCAATAATCTCCTTCAGCACAAAGCAACAATAAACTTCTTCAAGTGACACTGCAGGCAAGTCAACTCAAACTTCACTGGCAGGTTTTTGCCTGGAGTGACGGCATAGACAGACAGTTTCAGAGAGCTTAGATCACCTAAACCTACAGCTAAAACACAAATGATTAACCAATATATGACTGCAATGACAGCTGCTCAGTGCAGAAATCAATATTCTTGCATAGAAAAGAAGACAGCTACAAATAAGCCTATTGATAAGGTAACGCCAGCTGATCAATATTTACGAAAGTTGGCAGTCTAAAGTTTAACAGATCTATTCTTTTCCTTCTAAAGATAAATCTGCAAGGAGGTTCACTGCAAACCAAACCACACAAAGGCTTTCTGTGTGAAAATCACCACCTTGAAAATGGTGAGCAAATGCTCGCGTGCTGCCGCTCAAAATGGTCAGTGTGAAGCCCAAGTCCCTTAAGGTCTTGTTAGTGCTGGCCAACCAGTCCAACTAGTCCAACAGACACAACGAATCGGGCCCGAGTGCCTAATAAATTAAATACTAATCCTGTCATCACATCCTCGTCCCTGAAGGGCTGGATTTTCAGAAGTTTGGCATCCTAATGGTTTTCTACAGATGTATCCCGAGCTCATGCTCATGCAAACAGAGGACTGTCATCAAACTTTGCAACATTGATCATCTATGCCCTATAAAATGTGATTATTTAAGTGAGAAGCAGCTGCAGTAATCGTTGGAAATGCTGCCAGTATAACACTCCTTTCATAAGGTGTGTTTAACTACACCACAAAATTATACATTTCTGAAAACAAAGATCACAAGAAGCTGTTATTATGACAGTAGTCATAATGTCATGATAAAACGTCATGAAATCCAACTGATATATTGCTTCCAAGTCCCCATACAAAAAAAAATACAAAAAAAGACTGTGGTAACACCATGGTACTTGGCCACAATATTTCAAAAGTACATGTTCAAAAAAAAAGCTTGGTGTCATGCGTTTGAGAATATTCTAAGATTTCAGGCTTAGAGATATTATAGGCTACTCGAAATCTTACCTGTAACATTCAATGTTTAGTCCTGATCTGCTCATCTGTATGAGTTTAAAGGGAAGTCAGTCTGGTTACAGTCTATCATGCATCAGCTGTAAGTTATCCTTATCAGAGCAGGTAAAACACCGGCAACCGCATCGCTCAATTTCGAGGTGCAAAAAAACAGCTGTCAGAAATGATATAATTCCGCTGACGAAGTTAAAACGGAAAAGTTATCGAGTTTGAATGATAAACCAGTAGTCCAATGCTGCGCCATTCAGATCCGGTGACTTTTCAGTGCAGTTTTTCGCTCTGAACTCAGCGCACTCCAGCGGACCGATCCAAACACACGCGCAGGGTAAGCCTTAAAGGCTCGGCTTATGAATATTAATTACGTAACATTACGTCCGCCGGGTACGTTGAACTGATTGGCTGCAAGCTGGCCCTTTGAAGGTGTTGCTCTAGCGGGGCGAATGGATACTATTGTGGAATCCTACCGTAATTTATGAATATTTAATAAGGTTACGTAACAGGACGCTCTAGGAGAGTTACCACGCAACAACTGAATAATAAAATTGATAATTACCAGGTAAGTTTTCGCTATAGTTAATTTACCTACGGATATTTAAACTCAAAGTTTCTTTTTATTTCTTTAAATTAATCTCCAGTTCTCGTCTCTGACCGACTGCACTGAAGCAAAGGTGTTTAGCTTGAATTACAATGCATTAAAATAATTAACTTCACTTTCTTTTAACTCATTAAATTGGCATTATTAAAATGTATAATAATAAAAAAGATATTTATTAAAAATCAATACTGATATTTTGGATTTGTGGCCAGGTTTTCATTAAATATTAAAGTTCTGAAACACAGTTTCTTCAAATTCAGCTGTTCATATTACTATTATTTAATAACTTTATTTAATGTTATATAATATGTAAGTAAATATTAAAAATGGCTGTAATTATAGATATTTGTTAGTACTTTTTCACACTCGGTCTGCTATTAAATTTCTCCAACACAGCTGTTGTGCTTTCCATTGAATATGTGTTTGAATTGCTCATGACTCTTGAGGTTTCAGAGATGTCTAAAAGAAAGTAGAGCAGCAGCCTCATGGTAATCTAGGTGCTGAAAACTGAGACTGTGTTTCGGCTGCCTTCAGTTTCCCTGAGGGACAGAGCTGTGCCTTCATTTGCAAACCAATTGGCTTTAAAACAGGATTTCTATTCACATGTAAAGGATGTCATCTACGTGAAACAACAGTTTGATCCTTTAAGCTGCCCAGAGCTCATATTACACTGAAAATGGCAATAAAAAGGTAAGTAATACACAATCATGTTACATATTGAAGAAAAAGAAACAAAATGTTGTGTATTATTTTGTGCAATTTCCAGAAGTTGTGATTTCTTGACAGTATGTTTAATACTAATTTAAAAATTTAAAAAACTTCTTATGTGTGTTGTGTGTATATATATATATATATATATATATATACATACATACATAGATATATATCTTAGTTTTTTTCTTTATTTTTATTTTTGTTAAAAGCCCATTGACTATAAGCACCATTTGTTAAAAAAGGCCCTTGTTACATAATTGAGAAAACAGCCACAGCCCAACACGTCTGCTGTTAATGTTCCTGAACTGTGATTTTCACGAGTAAGTGACAAATGCAGAGCATCGCCACATTAAAAAAAGAAATGAGTACAAGTAAACACTTTTAATGCATTATAATTTGTTTTTAGGCATTTGGGAAGACCCTGCTCGCAGTGATCATTAATTAACATTTCATAAAAGGCTTTGTGAGCAGGTTAATCCGTTAATTAGATGGTTTGATCTTAACCAGCTACTTTATTATACTTGACTCCCACCATATAATTAGACATGAAGTGAGGCAGGATTACAGATGACTCGGGTTCTAATGGTCAGTATGGTTAGCGAGCGCTTTTGCGGAGCCGCTGTCATCTGGGATTTACATCAGCGCTGCAGTTTAATTTGAGCGCGAGGATTTCAATGAAGGGAAGTTCAGCTGGAGATCAGAACAAAGTGCATCTCCTGCCCTTCCTGGAATTCTCCGCAAGAACATTCTCACAACGAATCCCGCTGAAGGAGAGAGAGACTTAGAGAAACCCTGCTGGGACCAGACCCCTCTGCCTCTTCATCAATCACTCCACAGGACGGGACAACAGTGTCCTCCTAATGAGACTGACAATGCCGCACCGGTGTCTGCGGTGTCATGGTTCCTGCTTTGTACTTATCCAATTAACCATTACCAGAGGCTCCAATCAACATGACAATTTACAGCCTGAAATTCTGAAACTAATGTGACACTAATGCAACATTACACTCTGGTAACACTTTATTTTACGGTGTTCCTGTTGCACATGCAACATGTACTTACTATTATAATAATAAATTATGCATAATTACATGCAAGTAACCCAGTTAAGCCATATAGTACATGTAGTTAATTAATATTACTCAGTACTTAAATGTAGAATTACACTGTAACAAGGACACCTTAAAATAAAATGTGACCCACACTCTTATAGAAAAAAATTAATCCATGTCTGTAAGCTCTAAGAAAATCTATATGCAAGTTTCCTCCTAAAAATGAACAAATTAGCATATGAATTTCAATTGTATATTCTTTTGTGGGAAAAATGACCAAAAATATTGAGTCATCCTGCGCTCGGTGGATTATTTCCATCTAATCACTTCATCTAATATTATTTTAGTAACATTGATGTACTATTTTAGTGTGTTCTTGTCATTTTTATTACTGTTTTATTGGTATTTGTTTATTAATGTCTACATAGTTTTTATTAACTTTAATTTCAGTTTTAGTCCATTTTTATATATATTTTATGATTTTATAATATATATAATATAAAGATTTTAAAGATTTTTTATAAATTATAAAATAAATTAAAATAAATAAATTAAAATAAATTATTTTATTTTATTCTAAAAAGCTGTAATTAACATAACTTGACAGCTCAAAATGTTTGCTTTGAGAAAACAAGCATTTTATCAGAAATATGAGCAGATTTCTGCAAAAAATCCTCTGAAATAGTTGTTTTTAACCAATCCTAAGAAAGATTATAAGTATATAAAAGATTACCTGGATATATACAGTACACTAAAGTGTTATCTAGCAAATCTCAACTGCTTCATTGTCTATATTGTCACAAAATGTAAACTATATTGTCACCTAGTGATTTATAATGCACATTGTCTCAAAGCAGCTTTACGAAAAAGCACGATGTTAATGTTTACCCCTTAATACAAAAATGTATTTTTTTCCTAAGATGTTAGCTACAGCCTCAGCGTTCACATTGCATCTGTGTTAGCACATTAAAATGGGGTTAAATGTATTTTAACATTGAAATTCTTAAAATAAAGTCCTCTGTTAACAGATTACCTGTTAAGTAGATCACTGGACTCTTATCTGCTGTGCTGTGACCACACAGATAAACCCAGCGCTCTCCCCACCGTGAGCTTGAAGCTGTGGATTAGTGTAGAGGAGCATTTAGAGTTTGGATCTGAGGGTTTTTTCCCCGGATTACTCCTGGAGAGGTTTTAGAGAAGAAAGATGGAGAGAGGAGCGAGCCAACTGGCGTGAAACTAAAAGAGCAGCATTAAATATGTCAGAATCAGCTGCTACCCCAAGATCTCCCTCCTACGATGCCTGGCCGCTGTGGTGCTATTGTCTTAGACTCCAAAATCTCCTGTGTTCCTATGAAAACTCATACATCAAAGAGGTGCGAGTCTGTTTGTTTAAATCTGCTAAAAAATGCAGCACGAAAACACAAGTTTATATATAGTCTATTCTTGGTGCACCAGTATATGAATAATTAAAGTCCTTTACACATCATTTCGGTTTGGGATTTCGATGTTATAATAAGCAGTTCGGCTCACAGGCCTTGAAACATGGCTTGTTTCATCCCATGCCAACGCTTCAGGAGTACCACTGAAAATCCCTCTCAGTCCATTTCTTTCAGTGAATGGATGGACACCAAGTCGTCAATCTGTGGTAGAGTCGACATCCTTCTTTGAGCACTGCTCTGTTTTATGTTGGGGTTCTTGAATGGGCAGCTGTTGGGTTTAAGGTCACTCCCCTTGGGCAGCGCTTGTGGTCTTGGCTAATGACAAACACCTGTGAGAATCGGGAGTGGGGTGGAGAGCATTTATGTCACGATTTGTTAAACAGATGGCAAACATCTCCCTTTGGCTGCCCAGTCACCACAGCTCATGCCAGATTCTCTGCCCCCTCCTTAAACGAACCTCATCTCCTCTTATGATGTACAAAATCTTTGATGTTTTCTTTTGAGGAATCTTCTCAATCTCAATTTTCAAGCCAAGTCAAATGTACTTGTATAGCGCTTTTAACACTCTCAGAAAAAAGGTACAAATGCTGTCACTAGGGGTGGTATCCTTTCGAACGGTACTAAATTGCACTATTAAGGAACTAAAATGTACAAATGTACTAAATATGGACCTTTAAGGTACTAATATGCACCGTCTAGGGATAAACATGCACAAATGTGCACACTTTGAAAAGGTACCATACCAGTAACAGCTTTTGTACCTTTTTTTCTGAGAGTGCACAATATAGTTTTAAAGCAGCTTTACAGACCATCATGATATTAATGTTTATAATATATAGTCCCATTTAACAGATTGGAGCTGGGTGATAATATAGTTTACGGTTTTACAATGATACAAAAAATGTATTTCCAAGATGGTACCTGCATCAGCATTTACAGTTATATCTGTATATATCTTTAACACTGGAGAAAAAAGTGCCCTGTTTAAGAATAGATTTTAGCATTTTAAATCCAGTGTTGTGTAAAAAAAATATATATATATTATTTTGTTTTAAATGTCATTTGACAGAATGATCAACTAATAAGCTAATAATGAGAGTCAAATTGTACCAGCTTGTTCTGGAGAGGAGCATTGTTACTTTTTCATTATTACTTATCTTAGAAATATTGCCCCCTGGTGGATAAAAATGCATAGCAACACCCTGGCAACCACTTGCAACTTCTTAGCATTATTTCCACAGCTGACCTAAACGCAAAAACGACTTATTTTTACAATTCTGTACATATCCTGCACAATGGTTAAATAAACTTTGCATTATACCAGATCAATACAGATCTATTAAATTTGTGAACTTCTTCCCTATACGGTGTGTTGTGTCTATACACAACAACAGAGTGAAAAGTTGTGCGACTCATCTATTCTATGAGAAAAAAATGTTTCAGAGAGTGTGGTGTTGCAGATGTACATGCCCTCAACAGGACGCCACTCCACACAGGATGACAGACAAGCGTACGGTCAGGTGAACATCCCTGGGTAAAACTTCCTCTACTTCCTCTTAAAGTCATGAATCACTTGATGAACTGCCTGTCCTGCAACAAAACATAAACATACATTCATCCAAGCCCATAAAT